GGAGAGAGACTAGTTCTATATGAACAGAGATTGAATGGACCAACTAACCTACGAATCAGTAATAGTCTAGACTCTCCTCTATCAACAATATCTGAAACACTTATAACAGTAAACAATGACTTTCCATTAGTTACTGTGGAGATCAGTATGTATATCATCATGTTTGTATTTATTGTTTCTTTTTCTTAGATGCTTCTACCCAACCAAGTGTTGCAATAACATCAAGTATAACTGAAAATATTTTGGAAGCTTCTGTTTCAATTATTTTAGTAAGTAGGATCTTGTTTTATAACCATTTTAGTTTATACTTTCAGTCTAAGACTTTCCTTTCTCCTACTATTTTTTCACATATGCTCTCTTCCTCATCATCATTCTCACATGAATTGTCAAATGAATCAATCAATGTTCATGATACTTTACTAAATGTTGCTACTGAAACAATGAACGACAGACTGACAGCCAAAGTACCTAGTCCCTCACCCACACATAGCACGATAAAGCCGACTAATTCCTTAATATCCTCCACTAGTACATTTGTCATATCATCAAGTAAGCCATTACTTTTTATATTATTAATTTCCTTATTTAGCTGTACCACTCACTCCAACCACTCAATCAAGTGCATCATTCCTAGTTGGTGGAATTATAGTGGCAGTGGTCTGTATAATTCTTGTATGTACATGTCTACTAATAATAGCATGTATTATTATTGTTTGTGTGAGGAAAAGATCAAAATCATCATTTAAAAGTAATCCTGAGGAACTAAGCACATCTTTAAAGATCTTAACAACATCTACAAATGATGATCATGATACTAATATTGATACCCTGAAGGATAATCCAGCATATGTTACAACTACTGGATCTACTTCTGGATCTACAACACTACAAGATAATCCAGCATATGTTACAACTACTGGATCTACAACACTACAGGATAATCCAGCATATGCTAGTACTAGAAACACAGTATCAGTGGATGATGATACTCTGTATACTTATGTGAACAACAATAGCTCTAATTTATACAGCACAATTAATTTTTAGCCTCTATTCTTATTATATTGTCTCCTCTCTTTGTAATGCAATTTATTGAGTTATTTGTACATGTACACATCTTGTTTTACTGATTGAATAGTTTTAGAATTAATTCTTTATTCTTTATTTTTGTGCTGTGTAATGATGAGTACATGTAGTATTGAAATTAATATTTCCTTTATAAATTTATTGCCTTCTTTTTTAAAAATTTGAATGGGTATATGCACCTGAGATATAGTTAGATTGTACAAAAGCAAAGACAATATGTTCTATTAAACAAAAGCTTCCGCCAACAAAAGTTTATATGTACGTGTCTAATAGTAGCATCAAGGGTAGCATGTATTAGAGAAAATTATCATCTAAAAGTAATCTTGATGAACTGAGAATTATTTTTGAAGGTCTTACCTACTTTTACAAATGACAATCTCATGAACAATTCTTTTATACAGTACTACTACTAAACTGCAGGGCAATCCAGTTAATGCTATAGTGATACTACATTGGAGCCTAACCCAGAATATGCCAGTGCAATAGATGACACTCATCTGTATGATAGTGTTCAATTTTATGATACAGATAAAGAAAATCAACACAACAGCTATTAATAGAATGAGTACATATGGTATTAAAATAAATACCGTATAAGTGGTTTTTTTCGAGGGAATTATATTTCGCGAAATCTGCTAAAATTCCAATTCGTGGATTTTAATTTCGCGAATCCTACCACGTGTGCCATGCGGGTACCGTATTAAATTGATTTTCGCGGATTTTATTTTCGCGAATTAGGAGGGAATCCGCGAAATTCGCGAAATTTGCAACCCTCGAAAAAAACCACTTATACGGTACTTTATCTTTTGACTCATTGTTTCCTTTTTATTTTGAATGCATACTATCAATACCATTATACTGAAATATTTTTGAGTTGCAAAATTTTCACAAATCTTGCATTTGTAAATTTTACAAGAAATTGTGAATAGCTTGTAAACTGCAAAGCTTCCAACAAAAGCTACTTGCTTATGTCACTCATGTGATCAAAGCTATGAATATCATTAAAAATAAAGATGCTGTGTAGGGCCCTTCTGCTGTTTTTTGTCCTTCTACCAAAACGTACTTTAAAATGATGTTACTACTTACTATCTTATATATTATCCTAATAGGTACTGAGCAATGTACAGAGAGGTTTATGGAGCTACCGCTAGTGACATACAGAGCACAGAGAATAGGAATGAATCTACCTGAAACATATGTGAGTAGTAATACACTGAGAGTCCTTCAAGAGTATCAGTTCAATTGTTCATCTACTAATATAACCAGTCTTATATTGGGTATTAATATAAGAGAAGTTTCAAGAAGTGGTACACTCTATCCCAGTGTCCAGGTCTTTAGACCTAATGGTAATGATAGTGATCAATATACTTTAGTGGCTGGTAGTGAGAGAACTATTTATTATTCTACCTCTAATGTCAGTACTAGTGGAGTGTTTGAATATCCACTCAATCCTCCTATACCAGTAATGAGTGGAGACCTGTTAGCTGTATCACAACAAGGACAGGCAAACAGTGCTGTTAGAGTCTATTATATCAGTGGTATAACAGCAGTTAGCCAAGAGTTTGGCTATGGTGATACATCTGTTGACTTAACTAAAAGTCCAGACACAAATCAGTTGATATTAGTATATCCAGTAACAGGTAAGACACACACTCACTGTATCATTGAATTATTTTACTATCATTAGATGGATACTGTGTTAATAGTACCAATTCAATCAATCCTTCATTTATTAAAGAGAAAGCACTTGAAGTACAAAGATCACAATCTTTCTATGGCCAACACCAACACATTTATCCATGGATTGTATTCTCATGTAATGGATCAGTTAATAAATGGATCCTTGGAGCTAACAATAGGGGAAACACTGCTATTCAATCTGAGCTCCAAATATGGCGTCAACTGGGTCCCAATAACTACAATAAAATAGGATCTAGTTTAGTTAATGCTAATACAATGATTGGTACTAATCTCTATGAGTTTATTCCTCAGACTCCACTGCAGTTCCAGGAAGGAGACATATTTGGTGTTTATAGTG